CCCCCTCCCTGTGTCCCACTCAGCTGCTCTGGCAGAAGCTCCAGCCCCCTTGGCCATGCACAGATGAGCAAAAGTGCAGCCAGATGTGCCCAGGTGCAGGGCACACAACCTGTGAGGGGGCACGGGGTCCTTATTGTGCTTCGGAGGTCGTGGGACAGGTGAGGCAGCAGTGTGTGTGTGTGGGGATGGGGTGGGGCAGCAGCCCCCCCAGCAGCCCAGGGTCCCACACAGCCCCCCTGGCAGCTCAGCCGTGGCCAGTGGGGCAGGAGGGAGGTTGTGGTGTTGAACCTGGGGCAGCATTCCAGCCAGGAATTGCTTCCTTGTGTGGAAATATCCCTGCCCTTCCCCCCGGGGTGTGAGGACAGGCAGGGGCAGAACGGGCCCATCCCTGGATGCTGCTGCCTGTGCCATGTAGTGCCCCAAGCAAGGTTTGACCATCCAGCCCCTGTTCTGGGTTACCTGGGGCTGGTGTGAGCCTCCATCTCCTCCCTTAGAAATGTGCAGCAGCCAGAAAGCTGCTGGGAGTGCAGGGCTCCAAGCAGGAGGCTGTAAATCTCTGCCTTTGTTGTGCTTGGGCCTCACTGTATCAGTGCTTTTCCCTCTGAATATTAATCTACTCTGAAAGTGCTGACCAGTGCATCTTTCCCCAACAACTCTCTGACGCAAGGACCAGGCTGGCTGTGGCACGGGAGGTGATTCCAACCAGAATCCAGCAGAAATCCCCTGTCTCCAGCCCCAGAGGGAGGGATGGCAGAGGCCACGAGTGCCATAACAGCCAGCTTGGAGCTGGGAGCAGCAAGAGTACAGGGATGCCCTGGGGAAGGATAAACTGGAGGCCAGGGGAGGGCTGAAAGGTGTTTGGCACCAGCGTGGCTGGAAAAGCTCTCCCCACGCCAAAGCACACACGGCCTCGGGTCTCTGCAGCCTTTAATTTGCCTGATGTTGCAGAACAGAATCCAGTAATTTATGGGGCTCTGCTGGGTTTGTTTCCTCTGCTCGCTCGGGGGTCATGGAGCAAAACCACTGACTCCCCCTCCTTGTGCCTGCAGGGTATGGGGGTCCCAGGATGGTGCCTGGGATCCAGGACTGCCAGTGCGCTGGCTGATTGCCACAGGGGGGGCTGGTG